GTCTTGTCTGCACCTACGGCACACCAGGCAACATCTCGGAACAGCGGTTGAAAAACGCTGCTATATAATAACATTCTTGAAAAGGCAAATCTATGGAGAGTAAAAAGATCAATGCTTGCAAGGGGGGGGGGGGGGAGGAAGAGTGAACAGGAGCACCAAGGATTTTTAGGTAGTGAAACTATAGTATCATCTTGTGATACTATGAATTATGAATAGTTGTTATTATACACTTTTCAACATCCCTTTGAATGTACAAATCCAGTTAAACTATGGACTTCAGGTGATAATGATGTGTCAATGTGGGTTCACAGATTATAAGGTACCACTGTGGTGCCATATGCTGATAATAGGGGAGACTGGACATGTGTGGGGAGATTGGAAAGTATAGAGATATGTGGGAACTCTCTATACTTTCCCTCACTTTTACTGTGAACCTAAAACTGCTCTAAAAAAATAAACTCTATTTTTAAAAAAGGTTTAGTAACGATATCTTAGATTTCAATATCTATTCTGAAATTGTCTTCTTAGGAAAAGAAGTGATATATATCCACATCTATAAAAAAATTATTACAATTAAATTGAATATGTAATGTTTTTATCCTTCATTTTAAAGATAATTGCAAAAGGGAAGTGGGCTAAGTATAGCTAGAACATTTTTAAAGCTTGTTCAGAGATTCTATTTATATAAAGTCTTACATTTGGGAATGAGTCACTAGATACAGTTAAAAGGCACATTTGTTAAATGTACTCAACAGTTTAAGAACAGAGTAGAAACTGACAATTAGAAAAGATACTAATAAATATTGAGTCAAAGCCCCTTGTCCTGTAAATAAGGAGACTGAGACAGAGAATAGCAGCTTCGCCCTGGTCCCAGGCTGTTTTATGGCAGGGAACAAGTTTAATGGCTGCTTCTCCATTACAAGAAGGCAAAGTTGTGATAAAGTTCTTAAAATTCTGAGATGCTATTTTTTTCTTCTTCCGTTTATTTCTTTAAAAGGACGTGAATCCAATTAGTATATTTCTTTGGCTGATAAGCCTCACTCAGGCTCTGCCCATTTACTCATTTATTCTGCCCACTTGGTTTTTCCCAGAGGTTACTTACAAAGAAAATCATGTTCTAAGAATGCAAACAGCCTGAAAGTGAATATAAAACACACATGTTTATTACTAACTGAAGGCCGTGCTTCCTACCCCACCACTGTTAGTGAAAATTTAGTCTCTTTTTCAACCTTTTAGAGACAAAAAATCCACCCTTGGTGGGAGCAGCTATGACTCTATGAAAGAAGCTACAAATAACATGCTGGGAAATTCAGCAGGCACTGCTATTATATCCTGTTTATACTGTCATTTTTCCTATCAGTAGGATATTATTTATACAGACCCCACCCATGAACTTCTTGTTTATCTTATTATAGATATCCTCCGAATCTATAAAAAGAAGTCTCTGCATTTGTTTCTGGAAAAAGCACATGTTATAATTTTGCACCTCACTCCACTTTTTAATTTAGCATTTTCTTTGTTGTATATCACATTTTCTCCTTTTAATCTCAGAGTTGTCTTATTTCATACATTAGAGTTGAACTTTACTGACTTTAAGAGACTCCATTACAAGACAGAGATTCTAGACAACCACATCCTTAACATTAATTTTGGGTAGATTCTAGCACGTAGATTCTTCTAATATACACTTGACTAATTGGTTTAAAGACAGAAAAATGTCCCTATGTACTGACCAAGTACCCTAGTGAGCCAATTACAAGGGCAAGTTCTCACTTACTCCATCTCTCTTCTTGAATGGAATTCCTGTCCCTGAGTTTAGCCTGATGACTGAAGGACTGGATGAAAATGTAGCACATTAAATACATGAGGAATACATGAATTCAGTAAGTTGACCATGGGACAATTAACCACCTGGTTATGAATTATCTTCATTTTCTGGCCTTATGTAAATAACTGAAGAAGATAAAAGAAAACTGTGAGTTCCTGAAGGGCAGAACTCATGCAGTATTTGTTGAGCAAATAATTATTTCTGGAGAGGGAACATCACTGGACAAAGTTATACTGGATACATTTTCATATGTACAGCTATGTTAGCTTCATGAATGCCTGCTTTACCCTACAAGGCAGCACTACAGGCAGCTTGGTAAACGTGGAATCTTCAGAGAGCATGTAGGTAGGCTCTTAGGGGATGTGTAAGAAATATCACTGCTTTTAAAGAACATTACTCTAAAATGTATAACTGAAATGAGGTTTAGTATCTCAGGGTGGTGAAGTAAGTCTAATTAATTTCAGAACAAAGAGAGCTCCAGCCGAAACCGGTTTGGCTCAGTGGTAGAGCGTCAGCCTTCGGACTGAAAGGTCCCAAGTTCGATTCCGGTCAGGGGCATGTACGTTGGTTACGGGCACATCCCCAGTAGAGGGTGTGCAAGAGGCAGCTGGTCGATGTTTCTCTCTCATCGACATTTCTAGCTCTCTTTCTTTCTCCCTTCCTCTCTGTAAAAAATCAATAAAGTATTAAAAAAAAAAAGAAAAAAAAAAAAGAGAGAGCTCCATGTGGGCCAGAGTAACCAAAGAAGACAGAATGAAGCTAGCAACTAAGGTAAGCTTGATAAACAGCAATTGTAAGGCTGAAGTGAGAAGGTGGAAGGTATCCTACATTCCACCGATAATATGGGAGCATCTAGGTAAGCAAAATTCTGGAAATGGCAAGTAGTTAATTCAGCTAGGGAGTATAATGAACAGAAGATGGCAATAAAAAGAAGGCTGGAGTCAAATTATAAGAAGTTTCATTTTCAGTCAATAGAGAACCATGAAAAATATCTGGTCAAGGAAAAATGAACCCAAGCTTTCAAATTATGAATGAAGAGGAGGAAGAATAAGTTGGAGTGAGGCGGAAATGGGGAAAGAATATTTTAACAGTACCAGATCCTATAATTACAGTAGCCAAAGAAAGGTCCAAGTGATATAACAGATAATAAATGTGTAAAACCATTATCACTTTTTGCTTTCATAAACCGGAGATGGCATCATGATGACTATTACTGAATGGGGCATTGCTAAACAATGCCAATCCATTGAAGTTAAAATCAGGAAAGCTTACCAATCTCCTAAAATAGTACTTCTCCAACACAAGTCACCTGGGGATCTGGTTAAAATGTAAATTCTGATTTATGTTTCAGGTGATGCTCTCTAACTTTATATTTCTAACAAGCTCTCAATACTGCTGTTCCATGAGTAGCAAGATGCTAAAACATCTTTCAGTTTCCCTTTCCAAAAAGCCAATATTTGATATACTATGTTTAATTCATTACAGTTTATCCAGTGCTTTTACATATGCCTAGGAAATTCCTGTTAAAGGTATTTTATTATAATTTGCATCCATGCTGTATTGGTTTCAAAAGCTACTATTTTGAAAGTCCAAGATAATTCAAGATTCAGTGTACTCAAGATACTCAGAAATATTTCTGCCTAAACAAAATCAACATTATCTAATGCTGTTCTACAACACTGTATTTTTGTTATTTTGGCAAACCAGAAAATTCTATTGCCTCTAATCTTGGGGCTGAAATAAAAGCCCTGAAAGACAGTAATCTATCTTTTCATAGTGCACAGCAGTGGACTTTGGTAAAACACACTGAACTTGCCCTTACTGGGCCCTTATCACCACTTCTTCATTTTTGAAAACAAGGGTAACAATTTATTTTAAATATCCTACTAAAAAACACCTGAAGATTGCAAAACTTAAATTCACACATCATCCTGCTGTTTAAGATTTCTGTACAAAAAGAAATGCCTTGAACTAAAGTGTTTTTTTCTGCCATAAACAGTATTGTTTATAAAGCTATATTACATAATATGTTACACATGCATACACACAGACACACACACACACCTGTATTAAGATTGGCTGATCTTAGGTTAGATTCTTGGAACAAAATTTAAGACTTCTAAAATCTCAAGTTTCATTTTTAACCAAATTAATGGTCAATAACATTTTTTTAGGTAAATTGTCTTTATATCTATCTATCTATCTATATATATATATGTATGTGTGTGTGTCTAGAGAATATATATATATATATATATATATATATATATATATATATAATATCTTAAAATTTGAAGGTACTGTTCAAGATCAGATCCAATTATATCATTATAGTGGGGAAGAAACTAAGACACAAAGGCTAAAAGTGCCAAAGTCATGTAGCTGCTCCTGCCATGTTAAAAAAAATGAAGGGGAGAAACAAATTACTTTTCACATCTATCAATGTACAACACATAGCAATGTATTAATGACAAAATGTAGTTAAAAGAATTTCTGGTTACTCTAATGACTAAGGCATAGTTGGGTTTTATAAGTCACTGATATCGAAGAAACACTACATTCCAACAGAGGAAAAGACATGCTGCCCAAATTTAATAACTATAAAAAATGCAATCTGAATAGAGAATGACACATATACACCACATACTTGGGATGGGGCTGCGGTGGGTGGGTAATGGGATGGGATATAAAAAACAAAGAGAAGACACTGGTAACTCTTATCTTCTCAGTAATGGGTTGAGAAAAGCTTTCACATACAGAAAAGTGCTTTAAAAAACGCAATAATTTCTTAATTGGTAAAACTGAGGATTAGATTTGGAGGACTGCAAAGCTTTAAAATACATGAAATGGAGGTAGCAGTTGGATGTGCATGTGTCATGAGCTCTGTCACAGTTACAAGAAAACCAGAGAACCCATTTTTAGCCAATAAAGTAGGGAATTTTGTGCTTTTTAGAAATGCTTTTAAATTTTACTAGCACACATTTAAAAAAAAAAATCACTGGAGAAGTTCCATGATATCGGAGACAATGGGTTTTAAATCACCGGCATACATTATTATGCCTAAATTGACAGATCTGCACTGCAATGCAGAAATGTGAGCAATAACCCAACATCTGCATCAGAAGGCAGAGACTAGACATGATTCCAGAATAAAGGGCTCTTCAGCTCTTACCTGTTACCTGTGCAACAACTGCTTGGGAAATCCTCCGATTGGCAAGAAAGGCTTTGATTTCCTCTTTTATCACACTGCTGTCCCTCCTAACAAAAACAGAAGACAAGACCAACAATGTATGTTGAAGGTAGAAATCCTCATCTTTGCTAAGAAAGGTGAAGCAGAGAGGTGGGGAGAACATAGAGAGAAAGGACACAAAAATAAAGGCAAACAGACCACGCCTGTATGAAACATGAAATTAAAAGAAACCAAGAAACACCAAATATTCAAGTCGTAAAACACCACACCAGCAGACGGACGCTTTAGTGAATGCCACAGTAGATATGAGTTTCATACCAGAGGATGGCTAATCTTATGCTGTGAATAATTCACATTAGGAACAAGGCTGCCACATGGTATATATTAAGTTTCATTACTGTGGGGTGAATACATCTTACACAGACAGAAATCCTAGAAAAATAAAAAGCAACAAGGACAAAAATCAGTTGTGAGTAGATTGTGGGTTCCCGTGTTAACTTGCAACTGCACAAATAAAGTGCAGTTCGTTTAAAAATCCTGGTTAAAGAATAGAAATCATCATCATTCTCACAAATATTAGCCACTTTAAGAAAGGCTTTGACTTTTAATTTGTTTTCTTTTCCTGTATAAAAAAAAATTTAAGTGGGGTTATATATAGAATTTTAATATAAAAAGGCACTTAATTTTCTATTTCATGTATTATACAGAATACTTAATACTTAAACTTACATTATTTTCTGCATACTTGGGACCACAAATTATAGACCTGATTTTTCCTCCACTAAGATTCCTTAATGATTTTTACTTATTTAAAAATTCAGCAAATTCTTAAAAGACTAGACATTCACTAGAATGACAATAAATGGCAAGATTTATGAATGAAAGCAAATTATCATCCCTTCCCCAATTCTATTTTTCTCACTAGTAGGTTTTGATTTTTAAATGTATTTAATTATTATTCTATATCGAGTTTTGTCAATAAAAATATGTGCCTATTTGATTTCTCACTTGTGTGCAAATTATCTAAATAATACCCTCAATTTTGCCTCTGGTCCACTAAGTCTAAATGTTTACCACCTAGCCCTTTCAGAAAGCTTCCTGACTCTTGATCTGAGACAAAGATCATGAAATCTTTACAAATCATTTTGTGAATGAACCACAAACTCTTCTTAAGAGTTCAAGTTCTTAGGGGTGGGAAGAGATCAATGGGGGTGGAGTGGGGGGGGGGGGAGACTAATGTAATACTTTAAACAATAAAGAATTTAATTTAAAAAAGGAGTTTAAGTCTTTCTACAGATTATTTGGAGAAACAAAAGTACCTTTCCCAAAAGGAATTAGCTGTGACTTAATTTACAGCAGATATTTTAGACCCTTGGTGAGAAGGGGCTACACATTCTATTAGCAGATTCCATGCTCCCTTTTCAGGAATTCTAGGAAAGAACGAAGAGATGACAGTAGGGACAGCTTTTAATCTGGAACTCTACTGCACAATCCTAATCTACCAGTTAGAAATCCTAATAAAAAAAGACTTCTAAAGGGAGAAAATAGTCAGCTGGCTAATTCAACATCCAAAATTTCTCATACTGATTTAGATAATATCTAGACTCCTTCCAAAATGCTGGCTATATATTTGAAACATTCCCTTGACAAATATGCATTCTCATTTTATTTTAAAATTGTGAATGTGACAGAAAAGGCACAAATAAGTCAAACAAAAACTGCTGAGTAAAATACAAGTAACATAGACTAAACAAGCTGTCAAGTATCCATCAGTAATCAGCTGAGCAAGAAATAACTTCAGCAGTATCTATTTCAACTGGCTGATGTACGTAAAACAATCAAATCATTTGGTTTCTGCAGAATCGATGTGGAAAAAATGTAAATAAAACATTGTATTCTAAGATGTAGTGTCATTCTTGGAAATAAAACTTGAGTTTAAGAAAATATTTATTAGGGTAAATTTTTAAAATGTGCTTTTATGGGGAAAATAGATTAAATAGTATTTTTTTGGCCACTGATTTAAAATGGAATTTAAATAAATGTATTTTAAATCTAATTAACCTAGAGTAGACACTAAATCATAGAGTGGAGATAATGCTTAATTATTCCAGTGGGGAATATCCACAGTCTTACAGTATATTATCCAGAACGGCAGCAAGATAGCAGCTATTCACTTACACTCTCATAAACTATACTTTTAGATACTCGGCAAGTTTGTGAGTACCCACAATGATTCTTAAAAATCTCTTTACTTAACTGCTATACCAGAGAGAATCTTTTTTGAGTTGAAAAATAAAAGACTTGAAAGGTAAGGGTGCACCTGGGTAAGTAATTTAATAAACCTTGGCCCTGGTTTCATCATCCGGTAAAACTAGAACACTAATACACCTGTCACAAAGCTTTAACTATTTTTCTCCAAGCACTAAAATTAAAATTAAATGAAATTTAATACTCAATGTGCATATAACAAAAATTTTTTCAATGTAAACATTTTGAAACTATAAATGTACTACATGAACAATGGCTATTATTTTATAAAACCTCAGAATTTCAGGAAAAGAAGAAAGAAATGATCTGCTATAACTGTATAAGATTGAATTAAACATACCCAATACCTAAAAGTATTAGGTACTTTAAGACACTACGGAAAGATTTCTAGAAAGTCACTGTAGATATAAGCAGTGATGTGATATTCAGTTAGTTTTACTTGGTTTTTTCAAAATAGCACAGCATTTCACTTTCTCTGTGTTCATTTCTCTTAAGTATTTCAAAGACTTCCATTCTTTTGGGGGTGCCTCCGTTCTTTAAACTTGCACCTATTCCCCCCCTCATTCAGCCTTTAACAACCTGCCTCTCCTACTGTACACACTGTACCCTGTGAAATCAACAGTTTCTTGGTGTAAAAACTTTTGTTACTCCAATTCTAATTCTCTCATTTTCTCCTATTCCTTACTTTCTCTCTTCATCTGAAATTTGACATTCTCTTTAAAGAGAATGAATCCCTTTTCCTTCCTTATCTTGTAAAATCTCATACTCTTCATGATTTTTACTCCTCAGGTCTTATGGAAATAAAGTCAAATGTAGGCTGATCTTTCTATTACTTCCAAAAGAAGCTACCACTCAATTTGCATCTAACCACTTGAAGTCCATGTCATCTTCTCTTACTGCCTTTTCCAAACACAGCCATGCTGGATTCATCTATCTGAGTAATTTCTACATGTAAATTCTTCATTTCCATCCTCCATTGCCATTATTTTTATAACTTGCTAAACTTTCCATTGTGATCTAGAGACCTTAATATCTAAATGAACTAATCAGTAATGCCTCTTTTTGAAATAACCCTTTTAAAAGGCACAATTTGATTGTCATTTATTCAGAGAAGTTCTCCCTGATCATCAGAGCTAAAAAATATATTTTCTTCCAAAAGCATGTTATTATTCCAATTACACTACCCATATGTTAATGTGTTACATGCTATTCTGTATTACAGTTGTTTCTAACCTGGCCTTATCACTCTTACAAGCCTAAAAAATCCTTTAGCACAATGACTGTCTTATTCATCATAGGGTTTGCAGATAATAGACCTTAATTTGTTCATTGAATGAACAAATCTATAGTTGGAGATACAAGGTGGTAAAATAGAAAAACTGATGTAGATAATTTATAAAAGTTTTATTTTCTTATTCTTAAATATGTTTCAACTTCCAAACCAGAATGGAAAAAGTTATTTATTCTTGCTCAAAATGACAATAATTTCTTTTCTAGGACAAAGAGTATTAAAGTATGCATATTTAAAAGTGGAATGCTTTTGAGGTATTCCATAGCCTCTTGTTTAACACATTCTTTAGTCCCATCCCCTCTTGAAAGTAGTCTTTTAAAAAAATTTTTTATTGGATTTTTCTCAATTTTTAGGGGTGACATTTATTAATATCATAGGCAGTCTTTTATCTCAAAGATTTCCAGAGATGGAAGACAGACTATTTCAAAGATGGAAAATATAATTGCATACAAATTCTTTCATGTTTAAATAAAACCTGCTCCTTTTAATTTCCTTTCATGGAGATAAACAAAACATAACTTTAAAATGTTTTAAAGATAACTTTAAAAGAAAAGCTACTCTATATGGATAAACAACACGGTAACTGAATATTATTACTATGGATCATAAGTACCCTACCTACACAAGTAAATACTACCCTATTGTTAGGGATAACCAACTCAGAATAAAGTCTAGGAATCTTGTATAAAATACTAACATACATTATTAAAACACTAAACTTATTTCAATTGTTACTTTATAATACATATACAACAGAACAGATACTTTAATAGATGTGCAACGTATTTGCAAATATATATATATATATATATACACACACATATATATGTTTGTGTGTGTGTGTGTGTGTATATATATATATATATATATATATATATATACACACACACATACCTACATATAGGTATTAAAAAATATTAACATGTGAAATGGTTCATCATTCTAAAGTTAAGAGCTTTAAAGTCCTTCCTAAAATGTTATATTCAACAATTGTTGAGAATTCATATTCTAGTTTCCAATTCAGGTTTTTTATCCTGATCAATTAAAAAATGAAAAAAGTAACAGTTACTTTATTTTTTATTGTTTCTTAACAAGTTGATCAGGCTTTGTTATAATTTAATCAATTTCTACAAAAAAATTCTTTATGTACCTTGAAATTACTAAAAGTTAAGTTGTGTGGACACATGGGTTATGAAATTTGAAAAATGCATCTTATAATTGAGTGTTAAAGAAGTTGGGAAATGTGAGTATGCAAGAGGTGAATTACTCGTATATAAGGTGGGGCAAAAGTAGGTTTATAGTTGTTTGTATGGAAAATAATAAAATCATTAATAAATAATAATATAAGAATAAACTATACTTTGCATACTCACAATTGTAAACCTAATTTTGTCCAATGCTATATATGATATGCTAGTATGTAGAAATGGAGGCAGGAAGGCATTCAGATACCAAGTAACTATTCTCCCCACCTAGAGACCACCAAATTCAATGCACTAAACTATGACTGCAGTGTTGTGCAATCAGCAAGGGCAGTGTAGCCCTAAATAAGCACGACACTCAAAGATTCATTGCTCAAAAATTTCTCTATCATTCTACCAAATAAAAATTCATTTGTTTAGTAACAGGCAAATATCATGAGAGTTGTGAAGGGGGACTTAGTCCATTAAGGCATTCTCACTTTGTCTTAAATTACATTAACCATTGTTCCTATAATCTTATTGATATCTACAGATATAAAAATTTATTTTCAGAGGCAACAGATAAAAGTGGAACATTAGCAATAAAGACTCTGAGTTAGAATTCAGACTCTGCCTCTTAAAATTTACCATTTTCTTGAGCCAATTATTTAATTTTTGTGAATCTCAATTTCTCTGCTCCACCTCACAGCATAGTTATAATGATTAAGCTGAGAACAGACATGCAATAAACTTCTCCCTCCAACCTAATAATTGCTATTATCTGCAAACTTAAGAAAAATGATCAGTGGGCACAAAAGAATGTATAATAGGTGTGGGTGAGGGCACAATGGCAGAGGACCACAGAGAGTCAGAATGTCATTGAAATCCCTAGATGATTAGAGGACACCAAAGTAGTAGTTGTAAGAAATTAAAACAGAGATAATGAAGAAAACCAAGTGTCTTAACTATGCAACAAAATGGTAGCATGTAAATTAAATGCTGATAATAATATATAAACATGTATGTAATTAATGATGAAACTTGAATGTGTGTACTTGCAGGATTTAAGTACAAATCCTAGTCATTGCTAACGAGATTTTCTGTCTATTTTGAAGACATACTTGAATTACAGTAAAATGTCAACCTATAAGTTAATAGTCAAGTTTTAGACCCTGGCCAATCTTCCAGAGCCTTCTGTTAAAAAGAAAGTTTTCCCAAACTTCTTGTTAGTCTAATACACGTATGAGAATTAACTTCCTTAACTGCAATCAAATTAACCAGTAACTATTTATATAGAATTCAAATCTTCCAAAAGCTGTACTGCCCAGTATACAACTCTTATTACATAGTCTACCCCACATGTAATCCTTTTAAGACAAAACACACCTTGCCTATTTTACCATTAACTTTATATAAGGTTGCTATATTTCAAAAGACAGGCTATCTCTTAAGGTTTAGCTTATAATCATCATCCACTTACAGATTATGCTCTCACCATGTACCAAGGACAGTTCAGGTCCTAGAGACACAACAGTAGAAAACACATGGTTGCTGCCCTCAGTGTCTCAGGCCCAGTGTGAAACCATTTCTACCTGCCTCTGTTGAAAGTAAACTTCTTTTCTCAGTGTTTAAAACCCTAAGTGCTTTAACTTATCTTACAATAGATAACATTAAACATTTATATGTGGCACCTACTGCTAAAATTAAAACTTTAGCTTCTTAGGAGTGAAAACTTTTTCTTCCAAAGAACACTACTTTTTATATAACAGGAGCTTAAAATTATTGTTTGATTGAGTTATTGGAGGGAAAACTCGAAACTGTACACATTCTATATCATGATAAAATCACGTTATCCCTTAGAAAAAGTTCTTACAGTAAATTTAAGGAATAGAAAGTATCTGTTAGTATTGCTGAAAATTCAATGTTAGCAATTACAACCATAAAGAGAAGGCTAACCTTTGCTTTGACAGAGAGAATGGAAAATGCTTATCAAGCAGCAAAGTGATAGGGCTGAAGTTGAAAAGAGAAACTTTGAATTAAAACTTAAAACTTGACTTTTTCTTTCATCTCCAAAGTGGGCAGGGGGAAATCACAGTTCCTATAGATAAGTAGCTGAAATACAATCTATTACTTAAAACCAATATAAGAACAGACATTTTGGGGACTCTGAATAAGCAAAGAAACCAACCTCATTAATTCCTCCACTTTATCATCTACATCTAGGTCCTCTTCTGAGGCTTCAAAACTGTATGACCTCTGACCAATGCTGTTTACATGGTAGCGAGTCGGTGACATCTTTCCATTGGATGTGGACAATCTCTCGTTATTCTCCCTCCCATTTTGATTGGTAGTGCAAGGCTGTGGGGAGGTATCATAACTGTTGCTAGGCGATGGGGACATTCCCGAATGCTGGGTCTGTGTGGAAGCTGTAGCTGTAGAGGAAGATGCTGGAACATTGTTGGTACTATTCCCATATGAACTTCCTCCATAGCTGGACCTTCTTCCAAACTTGTCACTATGCTCTTGATCAAGACGGTCCAAAGTTCCCAAGGCATGGAGGATTTCATGTTTAGTCATTCCAGTACGCCGAAGGCGCTGAAGCAGATCTATCTGTTCTATTGTAAATCTGGGTTCATCTGTATAGTGAGACATGGTTTCCAACAAACTGGAAAAAAAAAAGAAAAGTAGTCCCTTTATTTACAATATCTAGTAAAAAATCATTATAGAGAAGCCCAGAAGATGCTGTGCTTTTTCACTGAAAATGTTTAAGACATTACTATTATAATGACCCAAAATTTCCATTATCACAGTAATACCAAAACAACAGATTATGTAAATACACTATTAAATCCAGGCTATGTAATTACTCATAGGTGTTTTTCCATCTCAAGTGTATTATTCTACATTAGAGTATTAATAGAAAGTTGCTGAAAAATAGATGTATTATCTTGTTTTGCTAAATATCAACAAAACTGACCTAGGACCTCTATAAATTCATTTAATATAAACAAATTATTTGATATGCTAAACTCAAGCAAATACTAATAATAAGCAAAACTACTTAAATAGAAAAAAGAGGTACCTAAAAAAACTTACTAAGCACCATTTTATCCACCATTTAGTAATTTCATATTTTATCTCTGTAATGCATTCTGTTGATGTCCTGAGAAATGGATTTTTCATAGTTATAGCCCCATGGTTGGCAAACTGCAGCTCACGAGCCACATGCAGCTCTTTGGCCCCTTGAGTGTGGCTCTTCCACAAAATACCACGGCTTGGGCGAGTCTATTTTGAAGAAGTGGCGTTAGAAGAAGTTTAAGTTTAAAAAATTTAACTCTCAAAAGAAATTTCAATCGTTGTACTGTTGATATTTGGCTCTGTTGACTAATGAGTTTGCCCACCACTGTTATAGCCAAACTGAACTATTCATTCTTGGAAATTGCTCTTACATTATGTCTTCTGTAACTAACACAAGATACTGTAGCCCATCAGAAAATGTTTCAGAGTTAATAACAATATAATTATGGTCAACAATGGACCACATATATGATAGTATCCCAGAAGATTATCACCTACTGACATTGGAGCATGGTAATAGCATTCGTAATGTTGTGAAGCAATGCATTACTCCTGTGTTTGTGGTGATACTGGTGCAAAAAAACCTATTGCATTGCCAGTCATATAAAAATGTAGCAGTACAATTATGCACAGTAGATAATGCCTGATTACGATGATAAACAACCATGTTACTGACTTGAGTATTTACTATACTATATTTTATTATTTTATCATTATTTTAGAGCATACTCTTTCTACTTATAAAAAAAAAAGTTTCCTATAAGCAGTATGCAGTATTACCACGGCAGCAGCTTCATACATCTCATGTTTACAGTTTACTGAATGCATCATTTTCTCTTGTGCGGTTTCGTACAGCAACATGCTGTACAGGCTTGTAACCTAGGAGTAATAGGCTAACTCATACAGCCTAGGTGTGTAGTAGGCTAATATCATCTAGGTCTGTGTAAGTTCACTCTACAGTACTATATAGTAAGAGAGGAATATGTTAATTATTCCTTACGCCCTGAGGAGTAACGACCAACTACATAAAGACCAGATCACAGATCTGCAGGAGGCTGGGGCAGTGAACTACAAGAGGGCAGTGGAGAGCTACAGGACAGGGCAGCAAGCTCCGATGGGGGTTAGAGGGGGAGGGCTAAAGAAGGGTGAGGCAGCAGGCGGAGAGCTACAGGAGGGTGGCAGCAACCTACTGGCGCAGGGATTCGGGCACAGGGCTACTAGTATTCACATAATAATAATGAAATCACCTAACAATAAATTTTTCAGAATGTATCTCATAGTTGGTGCATGACTTCTACAAGTTCAAGGGAGTTGTTAAATATTATTTTTAAAAAAGGTGACTTTTTTATTTAAGGTGTTTTGAAGTGGTAATTTCTTTTATTTTTATAGTTCTAGTGCCAAATTGTATACACAGGCTCTCAACTAAGTTTTTGCTGATAGAAATAAATGTCAAGACATTTTCTCATCCTTTCCAGGTAAACATACACTCTGGGCCAGTTCCGCTAAGCCACTGGAGATGTTCTTCAACTCTCTACATTAAAATTTTATTAAACATTCACATCTAAGATGGCAATGAGGAAGGATTTAATATAATGTAATCTCACTTAATCCTCACAACCACCTCCTGTGATAAGATACTTTATTTTATTGTATACCAAATGATTGATTATTGAGGAAACAAAGGCCCAGAGTAGTTTGGCACCTTGTAAAAAATCTGATTAAGAAGCAGAAGAGAGAGGATCCAAGATGGCTGCGACCAGGTGAACACCTAGCCGCAGCCACACACAACAATTTCAATAAAAAAACAACTAAAATATAAAACGGACATTGCCCAGAACTACAGGAAGGTTGACTGACTGGAAATTCTACAGCGAGAAGCAAGGAGAAAACCAGAAGGAGGCGCGGAGGAGCTGGAAAAGCCTGAGGTACGGAGACGCGGCGCGCGGAGAGGACAGAGCCGGAGAGGAGGGGGAGGCGGAGTGCCTGGCAGGCGTTCCCTAGCGGAAAGGAGATAAAACTCCGACTGTGCTGGGCCCCCGACTGCTCTGAACCCCAGTTCTAGGCCTGACCCTGGGGACTCAGGCTCAGCCATAGGGAGCCGGGCTGTAAGGCGGAACCCCGGGGAGAGGCGAAAGGAGGTCCCGGCGGTGCACACACTGCGCGCAGAGAAGGGACGGTCGGCTGTGCCGCGGGATTGCCCTGACGGGAAGGAGACTGGGGCTCCAGACTGCTCTGAACGCCACCTCCAACTCCACTTCCAACTGAACTGAAACCCAATACCAGGCTCATTGTGGGAGAGCATAGACTGTTTGGCAGCAGGCGAAAATCAAGGGCACCTTTCTCTCAGAGGCGCCAGCAGTGAGCACTGAAGGACCCGCATAGGGCGGGGCTGATGGAAGCCAAAGCTGCAGGCTCCACCCTGAAACCCTGTCCCATCTGTAACTGCGAAATGCGACAACAAAATAGATCACAAACGAAAGAAATGGAGGACAAAAAGCGTCTGGATATAGAGTTCAAATCTACGCTTATAAGGTTTTTCAAGAATTTCCTAGAAAAGATGGATAAGACCTATAAGGATATGAAAAGAGATCAACTAGAATTAATAAGGAGTCATCAAGAAATGATAAGGGATCAACAAGAAATAAAGAATACATTGTCTGAAATAAAAAATATTTTACAGAGTCCTAAAAACAGAAGGGAAGATCGCAAGAATCAAGTCAAAGATTTGGAACATAAAGAGCCAGAAGACACTCCTCCACAGAAGCTAGAAAGCAAGAGAATCCAGAAAATTGAAGATAATGTAAGAAACCTCTGGGACAACTTCAAGCGAACCAACATCAGAATTATGGGGGTCCCAGAAGATGAGAGAGAGCAAGATATTAAAAACATACTGAAAGAAATAGTGACAGAAAACTTCCCCCACCTGGTGAAAGAATTAGACTTACAAGTCCAGGAAGCGCACAGAACTCCAAACAAAAGGAATCCAAAAAAGACCACACCAAGACACATCATACTTAAAATTCCAAGAGCTAAAGACAAAGAGAGAATATTAAAAGAAGCAAGAGCAAAGAAGGTAGTAACCTATAAAGGAGCACCTATACGATTGTCAGCTGACTTCTCAACAGAAACCATGCAGGCCAGAAGGGAATGGCAAGAAATATTCAAGGTGATGAATAGTAAGAACCTACAGCCAAGGATAATCTATCCAGCAAAGCTATCACTCAGAATCGAAGGTCAGATAAAGAGCTTCACTCATATTATAAAAAAAAGCTAAAGGAGTTCATCAACACCAAACTAGAATTATATGAATTGCTGAAGGGGGTTCTTTCAGAAGAGAAAGTAAACAAAGATAAAAATTATGAACAACAAATACATAACTATCAAAAAGTGAATCTAAAAACCAAGGAAATTAAAAAAAAAAAATCTGATGAACAATAGTAACTGTTGAATATAATAGAATCAGAGGTATGGAAGGGGAGTGAACTGACGATTCTTGGGAAAAAGGGGAGAGGGGGCGTGGGAAGAGACTGAACATAAACTATGCACCTATGGATGAGGACAATGGGGAGTGGGGAAAGGGCAGAGGGTGGGGTGGGAACCTGGTGGAGGAGAGCAATGGTGGGGGGGGGGGAAAGGAACATTTGTAATAATATGAACAATAAAAACTTATTAAAAAAAATAAATAAACATTAAAAAAAAAAAAAAAAGAAGAAGCAGAAGAGAAACCAAGATGGTGGCATAGGTAAACACCTAAAGTGCTGCCTCGCACAACAATATCAAAACAACAAATAAAAGACAAAACGAACACCATCCAGAACCACAGGAAAGCTTGCTAAGTGGAAATTCTACAACTAGAAGAAAAGAGGAAAGCACATTGAGACTCAAAGGAGCCGTACAGAGACTTGCACAAGGAGAGGACGGGTGGAGGTGTGCATGGGCAGCTGTGTGCACGGGCAGCCGAGTGCACAGCTGGTGTCCTAAAGTGGGAGAGAGAAGGAAGCTCCCAACTGCACTTAACTCCAGTCCCGGGCAAGACGCTGGGAAACCAGACTCATTCGGGGGAAATCTGGACTGTCAGGAAAAGAGAAAGCACACTGAGACTGCAGAGGCAGAGGTCCGGAAGCGCATGCGTGTGCAGAGAGGACTGACTGCTGAATGCACAGGCGGCTGAGTGTGAGGCTGGCTTCCTAAAGCGAGAGAAAGATGGAAGCTCTTGACTGGGCTGAATTCCAGTTCGGGGCAAGTTTCTGGGAATCCCGACTCATCAGGGGAGAAACTGGACTGTCTGGCAGCAGGCAAAACTTGAGGGCAGCTTTCTGTCAGAGGTGCTTGCAGCAATTACCAAGGGACACTGAAACCCAGGGATTTCATAGGGCAGGGCTGACAGGAAACCAAGGCTCTCTGCTCTGCCTTGAAATTCCGCCCATCCAAGCTGAGCACAGAGGCTTTTGCAATTTTGCAAGTCTTGTCTCATAAGAGTGTCTCTAGCACAGAAGTTCTCCCAGTGTAGACACAGCTGATCCTTATAGCAACTTGGTCAATTCCTCCCATCAATAATCAAGACTTAATTACAACAAGGCTGAGCAC